TTTTATGCAATAGATAGCAATTTAGTGTAGAAATTTCATTATAAATAAGCTGAGTTTTCATCATGTATCGATAGAAAATTTAGAAAGCAAATTTTATAAGATAATAAAAACTCTTTGCTAAATTGTCTCATAATAAACAAACTGATTTGTGTCAAAACTTGCTTTATGTCAACCTTGGTTAAGTAATATTAGTAATATTAGATTACTTAACGTTATTAACTCACTTTGTGGAAACCTTGGTTAAGTAATTGTAAATTACTTAATGTTATAAACCCTGCTTTGTGTCACTAGGTTTAAGTAATCTTTAAATTACTTAAACGATATTTACTTGATTACAAATAATACCTTGTAACGTCATCTGTGAATTTTCTATGTCAAAGGAAATTACTTGTCTTACGTGAAGAATTAGAAGTTGTCATACTTGCCAATTCTGAAACTTAGTCGTGAAAGAACATTGAAGTTAATAATAGCCTGAATCAACTGAAGTTTCTCCCAAAACTTACTAAAGATTGAGCTAAATCTTGCTGCTACTCAATTGATTACGTGTTTCAGTCCGCCTAATCATTAGTTGAGTAATACCATAATATTTGATGTTTCATTTGGACAAATTCTTGATGTTACTTTTTTAAATGCATCATACTAAATAAAGCATAATTAGTAGGAGTATTTAAATCTGCATTTTTGTTTAACTATAATAAAAAATATATAAAATAATTAATAAATCAAAATTATAAAAAATAATTATAAATACAAACAATTTCTTTAGCCTATAGACTTATTGCAAAATTACTTAAAGGTAAATGGCGATCTTCTTTAATAAAACAATGCTTATGATTTTTAATATTACAAATATATTTATCATTTAATTGCATTACATAAGATCCAACCAATGTTTTATTTGCTTCCAAATTTGCTTCTTTTGGTATACGACTTTTAACTGCGTCTTGGCCTTACTAATAGGGTTGTTAATTAGCTTGAGATGAACCGCTTAGTCATAGTTTAAACTTAAACTGATACAAAATGGGTTGATTCGGTTATTATTGTTTAGTTAAACCATGGCTTAAACTGCATAATTAACAATAAATATATACAATTATCGATTTTACAATGGCTCTTTTTTTTTATATAATACCTTATGATTATTTTAATTACCGGTAAATTATGTATGTCTCATATAGATAATCTTCCAAGTTCTGATACTTTATTAGATTATTTTTTACCACAAAGTAGTATAGGACCTATTCGTAATACTAGAAAAAGGCCCATATCGGCAATGGACCAATTTTTTACTCGGACAAAAGAATCACAGATCTGCAAATATTGTAATATCAAATATAGTAATACAACATCTACCGGGACTTTAAAAACACGTGGAAAAAATTCACCAAGAAATTAATGAATCGAAAATACAAACAAAAATTATTCCATATAATCGAAAAGAGCAATCTGAACGTGATAATTTTTTAATTAATTGGATAATTTTAAGTATGCAACCTTTTTCTGTTGTTGAGGAAATTCATTCATTGATATGATAAAAAAACTTGATCCACGCTATCATATACCAAGCCGGCAATGCATTAAATCTAATATAGTAAAGGAATTTCAAATTCGGCAAGAAAAATTAATTTATGATTTACAAAATATTTCAAGTAAGATAGCGTTAACAACTTATATGTGGACTTCTGGAATAATTATAGCTTTTTAGGTATTACAATTCACTGGATCGATAATAACTGGCAAATGCGTAAATTTTTATTAGATATTATTCCATTCTATGATTCACATTCTGGTAATAATATAGCCGAAACTTTAATGAACTAATTAGTTAAATATAATCTTACTACAACAATTTTGGCATTGACTACTGATAATCATTCTGTTATGATTGTATGTGGTCGTAATATAAGCAATGAATTAAGTACAAAATTCAATGATTCTCTATTTTCTCATTACCGATGTGGAGCAAACATACTTAATCTGTCTGTACAACATGGTCTTCAAGTATATGATGAGGTGATTGTAAAGGTCCGTAATTTTATGAATAAGGTTCGCAGATCAAATTTATTAACAGAAGACTTGCGACGAATATTTGAAGCACAAAATATTTCATACTTAGGTTCACAAATTGATATTGAAGTACGTTAGAATTCAACATATTTAATGTTAGAAAAATTTCAAAAAATTAAAGTACAGGCTAATATGCTTATTTTTCTTCATCTTCATTTTCAACTATTGGGATCTTTACTTTATTTTTTGGACTTTAAAACAGCATTTGGAATATGAAATCGCAAATATACAACACATTATATTATTGCT